CTCCAGCTGCACATTGTGTTGATAGTGATGAAGGTGTTTGGTATGCTTGACTTCATTGGTCAGTGCATTGAGGTCATGTTGTGGCTGTACAGGGCATTGGTTAGGCCACTTTTGGAATACAGTGTTCAAATCTGCTCACCTTACTATTGGAAGGATGCTGCAAAACTTGAAAGGGTTCAGAAAAGATTTACAAAGGTGTTGCTAGGGTTGGAGGTTTGTAGTTATAGGAAAGAGGCTGGGGCTATTTTCCCTGGAGTGTCGGAGGCTGACGGGTGACTTTACAGAAAATCATAAGGGGCACGGAAAAGGTGAGCAGAGTCCAAAACTAGAGGACATAGGTTTAAGGTGACAGGGGATTTAAAAGGGACCTAAGGGGCAACTTTTTCATGCAGCGGGTGGTGTGTGCCAGACAAAGTTGTGATTGTACCAGCTTCCACAATATTAAAAGGCAGCTGGATGGATACAATAATAGGAAGGGTTTAAGAGGGTATGAGCCAAATGCTGGCAAAGTGTTCGGCACACTGCAATGGAACAACATCTCATCTTCAGACTAAGCACTTTACAACCTTCTGGACTTAATATTGAGTTCAACACATTCAAACTGGACCCACTCCCATTCCTTTCTTTTAGCTTCACTTGTTACTTTCTCTGTCAACATATCCTCTCTTGCCTCCCTCCACCCCAGTGGGACTGTCTGTTCTTTCATGTCTGGCAGTTAGACACACACATTCTGCTATTCTCACATGCCAATCACTTAGTTCGAACTATCAACATCCTTTCACCTCCAGCACTCCACACACGCCACCAACCCACTACTGCATAAACGCTGCCGACTCCACACTTCACATCAGCTCTGATGAACGATCATCTAGACTCGAAACATTAGCTTGCTTTGTCTCCATGGATGCTGCCTGACCTGCTGTGACTTGCAGCAGATTTTGGTTTCAGAACCGATTCCAGTATCTAAAGTACCAAAAATAGAAACTGCTGGAAAAGCTCAGCAGGTCTGGCAGCACCTGTGCAGAAAAATCAGAGTTAACGTTTCGAGTGGAGTAACGTTTCCTAATAAACCTGTTAACGTCGATTTCGTTTCGGATCGAGTGACCCTTCCTCAGAACTGATGGTAGCTAGGTTTATATGCAGAAGATTGTTGGGGGGGTGGTGGTGGTGAGGGGGTAAGGAGTAAACGTTAAGTGGCGATAGGACCCAATGAGAGAGAGAACAGTTGGACAGACAAAGGAGTGGATAATGATCTGGCTAGGAGGGTGAATATGTGTTCACTGCTAGCAGCCCCCATTAACAATGTGTGGCGTGTAATAGCAGACTGTGACAACAAAGCCTGGTTGGAGTAAGGACATGGGAGAGCTCAAGTCCTAAAATTATTGAATTCAATATGGAGTCAGGAAGGCTGCAGGGTCCCTAGGTGGAAAATGATCTTCCATCTTGTGCTGAGCTCCGCTGGAGCATTGCAGCAAGCATGAGACACAGATGTTGGCCAAGGAACAGACTGGTATGTTGATGTGGCAGGCAACTGGAAGTTCAGGTCTTTTTTGCAAACAGAACGCAAGAGTTCTGCAAAGCGCTCACCCAGTCTATGTTTTCTTTCCCCAGTGTAAACTAACCCACATTATGAGCAGCGAATGCAGTAGACTAGATTATGTCAAGTGCACAGAAAGCGCTGCTTCACCTGTAAGGTGTGCTTGAATACCGAGGATAGAGGAAGTAATTGGACAGGTGTTGCACCTTCTGCGGTTGCAGTGGAAGGTGCTGTGAGGTTACGTGGGGGTGTTGGCTGTGACAGAAGAGTGGACCACGGTGTCCCGGAGGCAGGCTGACAAGGGATGGGAGGGCAATATGTGCCTGGTGGTGGCATCTCACTGAAAGTTGAGGAAATGGCAGCTAATGTTCTTCTGGATGTGGATACTGATGGGATGGTGGGTAAGGACAAGGCAGACCTATCAGTGTTGCAGAAAGGAAGGAGGGGTGGCTGAGGACTGAAGTGTGGTTGACGACCCTATCAACAACAGTGCAAGGGAATCCTTAGTTGAAGGTGGTGGACATTTTGGATGCTCTCTTGTTTAAGTTGGCATCGTTGGAACAAATGCGACAGAGACAGAGGAACTGGGAAAACTGAGTACAGTCTTCACAGGAAGCTGGGTACCAGGATGTATAGTCAAGATAACTGCAGGAATTAGTTGGTTTATAGTGGATATTGGTGCTGTCCTATCCCCAGAAATGGAAACGGATGTAGAAGATGGGAAGGGAGGAGTCAGAAATGAACTAGGTGAAGGTGGGGCCCCTGCACATACCCATGGCCACCCCCCTGACCTGAAGAAAATGAGGAGTTTAAAAAAAAAGTTGTTCAGTGTGAGGACAAGCTCTGCCAGGCAGAGGAGGCTAGTGGTGGATGGAGATGTTTCAGGCCTTTGTTCCAGGAAGAAGCGGAGAGCCCCAAGGCCATCCTGGGGTGGGGTGGGGTGGGGTGGGGTGGGGGGATGCACGTGTAAAGGGATTACATCTCCATTGTAAAGGGGCAGCGGCCAGTGTCCGCAAACTGGAAATTCTGCACTGACGTAAAATGTCAGAGGAATTGTAGATGTAAGTGGGCAGGGACCGGATCAGGGAAGAAAAGCCTGAGTCAAGGTAGGAAGAGGTGAGTTCTGTGGGACAGGAGCAGGCAGAAACAATGGGTCTGCCCGGCCAGTCCTGTTTCTGAATTTTGGGGAGAAGGTAGAAGTATGGGGTGGGAGGTGATCAGTCTAGAGGCAGTTTTGGTTGGGGAGGTTTAACCCCATGAAATGAGGTTGGTGACCATGGTTAACATGGTGGCCTGATGTTCTATTGACGGGTGATGGTCCGGGGAAAGAGAGGAACATGGAACATAGAACATAGAACAGTACAGCACAGTACAGGCCCTTTGGCCCACAATGTTGTGCCGACCTATTATCCTACTCTAAGATCAAACTACCCTGCATACCCTACATTTTAATATCCTCCATGTGCCTATCCAAGGCTCACTTAAACGTCTCTAAAGTATCTGACTCCACTACCACTGCCGGCAGCGCATTCCATGCACCCACCACCCTCTGTGTGAAGAACCTACCTCTGACAGCTCCCTATACCTTTCTCCAATCATCTTAAAATTATGTCCCCTCATAATAGTCATTTCTGCACTGGGAAAAAGTCTCTGACTATCCACTCTATCTATGCCTCTCATCATCTTGTAAACCTCTATCAAGTCACCTCTCATCCTTCTTCGCTCCAATGAGAAAAGCCCTAGCTCCCTCAACCTTTCCTCATAAGACTTGCCCTCCAGTCCAGGCAGCATCCTGGTAAATCTCCTCTGCACCCTCTTGAAAGCTTCCACATCTTTCCTATGAAGTGTCGGAGTACATTTAAAAGAGAAATCAGGAGGGCTAAAAGGGGACACAAGATGGCTTGGGCAGGTAAGGTAAAGGAGAATCCAAAGAGATTCTACAAGTACATGACAGACAAAAGAGTAACTAGAGAGAGAATAGGGCCTCTTAAAGATCAACAAAGTCCTCTACATGCAGAGCCACAAGAGATGGGTGCGATCCGAAATGAATATTTCTCGTCAGTATTTACCGTCGAGAAAAGTATAGATGCTAGGGAAGTTGGGGAAATAAATAGTAATGTCTTGAAGAGGAGATGCTGGAAGTCTTAAAGCATATTCAGGAAGATAAATCTCTTGGACCTGAAGTGTATCCCACGACTTTATGGGAATCTAGGGAGGAAACTGGGGGGACTCTAGCAGAGATATCATTGAAAGCCACAGATAAAGTGCCTGAAGATTGGAGTGTGGCTAATGTTGTGCCATTATTTAAGAAAGGCTGCAGGGAAATGCCTGGGAACTGAAGACTGGTGAGCCTAACATCCGTGGTGAGTAAGTTGTGAGAGGGGATTCTGAGAGAGGATCTACAAGCATTCAGAGAGGCAGGACTCATTTGGGATAGTCAGCATGGCTTTACACATGGGAAATCATGTCTCGTGAATTTGATGGAGTTTTTTTGAAGGGGTGACAAAGAAATTAGACACGGACAGTGTGGTAGACATTGTCGACATGGACTTTAGCAAGGCCTTGGTAGGTTGTTGAGCGGGGTTAATTCTCACAGGATCCAGGGAGAGCTAGCCAATTGGATACAAAAGTTGGCTTGATGGTAGAAGACAGAGGGTGGTGGTAGAGGGTTGTTTTTCAGACTGGAGGCCTGTGACCAGCGCTGTGCCACAGAGATCGGTGCTGGGACCACTGTCATTCTTCATTTATATAAATGACTTGGACGAGAATTTAGAAGATATGGTTAGTAGGTTTGTGGATGACACCAAGATTTGTGGTATAATGGACAAAAGGTTATCTGGGAATGCAGCCAGATCTTCTTCAACTGGGGGAGGAGGTATTCCTCTGCATTGCAGAGGTCAGGCTGCAACAGCGCCACCCTTACCAGCAGGCTTAATTAGCAAAGTCAGGGTTGGATCCAAGAGCACGGAGTGCAGTCAGTTCCCGGGAGGATAAACTGGAATAGGTTGTGGGGGTGGGAAAGAGAGAACTTGAGGCGACGAGAAAAATGATACGTCGACGGCTCTGAATGAACAGACCGAGTGCAAGTACAAAGCCAGAGAGAGGAGGACAGGCGGAGGGTGAGTGTTGGAGCTGGGAGTAACGTCGGTGTTTCGGGGAGAGGACTCTTGTCCAAAGACATGGGCACAAAGGAGAAGGGATCTACATTAATTTGCTCCGGCATTGTTTGATCGGTCCTCCGAAAACCACCCCCTGTTTCCTATTGGTCCGGAGCTGCTGTCAATCACTGGCTCCCATCGTGAGCTGGAGCATGTCCAAGGAAGGCCTCACGGTTGGAGTCAAGACGGTCGGCCGCATTTGTGTGATGACCTGGTGAGGCCGCCTCAGAGAAAACGGGCATAGATTGCCTAGGATTCACACACTCTCCCGGACGAGAAGACAATGAGTACCGGGTGAAACCTACCTTCGCGGCGTTTAATCAGACAGCAGCCTCTAGGATGGCTCGCTCACAATAACCGAGCCCAAGGCCGGCCCCTTCACAGGAGCTGGTCAATAACGCCGTGCATGCGCAACGTGGTAATGGTACCGCCTCTCGGTCACTCCCATTGGTGGGAGGACCAGCCGCCCCAGCTCGGTCCTCCAGGCCCGCCCCCTCTTCCTATTGGTCGGAAGTAGTCGATCAGTCAGTTTGAATGTGAGTTGCTGATTGCGCAGTGAGATCCCTGGTGCACTGTCTCCAATCGTTCCAAATTATCTAAAGGGAAATATCCAACACACTATTGGAATTGGAGAGTGGGCATTCTGAGCTTTGGAGGGTTAGGAGAAGAAAGTGTTGCATAAAAACTGGACAACAAAAATTAAAGAACTGCGGATGCTGGAAATCAGTAACGAAAACAAAATGCAGCATCTGTGGAAAGAAAGCACACATAACGTTTCGGATCCAGTGACTCTTTCTGCAGAGGTGGTAGGAACTGCCGATTCTGGAGAATCTGAGATAACAAGATGTAGAGCTGGATGAACACAGCAGGCCAACCAGCATCGGAGGAGCAGGAAAGCTGACGTTTCGTCAGCTGAATGGACCATTCAGAATTTCTGAAGAAGGGTCCAGACCCGAAACGTCAACGTTCCTGTTCGTCTGATGCTGCTTGGCCTGCTGTGTTCATCCAGCTCTACATCTTGTTATCTCACTCTTTCCGCAGAATTTTTTTTTAAATTTGGCTCACCAGCAGCTGGAGCTGGACACACTTCCTGCACCTGTGGGCACCAGGGACAACTGAAGCTTCCATTATTTGCCCCAGAGCACAGATATGAGATGTGCTGCCATGTTTGTTACAAGTGAACTCGCTTTTGTAATTTTTTGACATCATAAATTAACGTACCGCTTTCCTGTGATGTCACTGTTTTGATTTGTTTCCCAGTCATCGGTCCCCGGAAGGCGCAAGCTGTAAAACTAGGAATCCTGTCTCTCTGCTCAGTTGAAGATGAAAAATGTAGCCTTACAAACAATAAACTCTGTAAAATGACCTTACAAATCATGGACAAGATAAAAAGAAACAAAAAATACCTCTTTCCCTTGTGCATAGAATTCGAATTGTTCTCTCGATTTACAGCAAATCCTACTCACAAGGGTAGTACCTAATTCTGGATGTGCCTTCCCCTAACTGCTTATGCAAAGTGTAATGATTGTTTTGTTCTTAGTCACAAAGAAACTCTGCTCCTTGTACTTGAGTAGGCAATAAGGTAGATCATATAATCCCTACAGTGTGGAAGCAGGCCATTCTGGTCATTGAGTTCACACTGACCTTCTGAAGACCATCCCACCCAGACTCATCCCCATTCCCTCTACAATATCCCTGTGACCCTGCTTTTCCCATGGTTAAACCACCGAGCCTGCATATCTTTGGACTCTAGCCGAAACCCACGCACACGGGGACAATGTGCAAACTCCACAAAATTACCAAGGCTGGGATTAAACCCAGGTCCCTGGCACTGTGAGGCAGTAGTGCTAACCACTGAGCCACTGCGCTGCCCAATGAAGCCTTGAAGACTTTGAGAGATCTTCAAAATAAACTAATCTTAGATAATGACAAAGACTTGATGTTTAATAGAAAACTAATTTGTATAATTTTTATCACAAAAAGCTAACCAGACTTGTGCTGTTTATAAATCATAAGACATCATCAGAAAACAGACTCTAGAAAATGTGGTTTGGAGATGGATGTCAGTAACTCAAACTCCAACTCCTAAGTTACTTGGGAACTCATTGGTGTTTAACCAGTCCTGCTGAACCAGAAAATCCCAATTCACACGCTGTGCAGGTGGATAGTTTATATCCAGTGTAAATATGTTGATTGTAAAATGATGTTGTGATCAATTCCATGACAGATACAATATTAACATGTTAACCACGATATCAGCAGCTTTAAAAAAGCAGAGTTTAGTAACAAACAGATCAGTGCTGATCCATTTTTTTTGCATTTATATAAACGATTTGGATGTGAAGGAATGGTTAGTAAGTTTGCAGTTGACACCAAAATAGGTGATATAGTGGAGAGTAAAGAATATCTCAGAGTACAACGGGACCTTGAACAGATGGGTGAATGGGCCATGAGTGGTAGTTTAATTTAGACAAAAATGAAGTTGCATTTTGGTCAGGCAAACCAGGGTAGGACTTCCACAGTTAATTGTAGGGCCCTGGGGAGAGTTGCCAAACAAAGACACCTGGGGTGTAGTTGTATAGTTCCTTGACAGTGGAGTCACAGGTAGATAGGGTGGTGAAGAAGACTTTGGCATACTTGCCTTCATTGGCCAGTGCATTGATATAGGAGTTGGGATGTCATGTTTCAGCTGTACGTGACATTGGTGAGGCCACTATTGAAATACTGTATACAATTCTGGTCCCCCTGCTGTAGGAACGATGTTGTTAAACTTGAAAGTGTACAGAAAAGATTTACAAAGATTTACAAGACTGGGGGGGGTGCACATTGAGATATAGGGAGAAGCTGAATAGGTTGGGGCATTTTTATTTCCGAGCATCGGAGGTTGAGGGGTGATTTTATAGAGGTTTATGAAATCATGAGGGGCATAGATAAGTTGAAGAAGGGTCTAGACCCGAAATGTCAGCTTTCCTGCTCCTCTGATGCTGCTTGGCCTGCTGTGTTCATCTAGCTCTACGCCTTGTTATCTTGAATAGCCAAAATCTTTTTCCCCAGGGTAGGGGAGTCAAAAGCTCGAGGGCACAGGTTTAGATGAGAGGGGAAAGATTTAAAAGGGACCTAAGGGGCAATGTTTTCATGCAGAAGGTGGTGTGTGTATGGAACAAGCTGCCAGAGAAAGTGGTTGAGCCGGGTACAATTTCAATATTTAAAAGGCATCTAGATCGATATATGAATAGATGTGAAGTGTTTAGAAGCATATGGGCCAAACGCAGGCAAATGGGTTTAGATTAGTTTAGGATATCTGGGTGGCGCAGAGGAGTTGGACTGAAGGTTCTATTACCCTGCTGTATGACTCTGAATCTGATTCTTTCACTGATGTGAGTAAGAGTAAAATCTTTCAACTGTGGTCTTTGTGCATTCATTGGTATTTTAACAGGATTGGTGACTGAGGAAATCCTTTGCATACACAGAGCAAGAGAACATATTCTCCCCAGCATGATCTCACTGGCACATTAACACATTTGATGAAACATAAAAGCCTTTTGCACAGTCGGAGCAGGGGAACAGTTTCTACTGTATTTGCTGGTGTATCAGCAAGCTGGGAGCAGTTGAATGATTTCTCCCCAGTGTTTCATTGATGGTATGCCAGCAGGTTTGTTGAATCAATAAAGCTTTTTCCACACACAGAGCAGATGAATGGCCTCTTCTCAATGTGAACTCACTGGAATACCAGAAAGTGCGATGACCACGTGAGTCCCTTCCCACATTCAGAGCAGGTGAATGGTTTTTCCCATGTGAATTCACTCGTATCTCAGCAGTTTGACAACAATCTGAATTCCTCCACAGATTATATTCCTCCACAGCAAGTATATTACCTTTAATCCCGTTGCTCTGATTTTGCACACTAACAGTTATGTGGGACTTTATCAAAAGTATGCTGAAAATCCAAACTTCCCCCATCCATTGGTTCTCATATACCTATTTTACCTGTTATATCATCAAAAGCATTCAATAGGTTTGTCAAAATATCTTCCCTTTTGTAAATCCATGTTGACTTTGTGTAAACTTGTTGCTTTGCAAATGTCTGGTTATTACATCCTTCCTAATAGACTCCAGCATTTCCCTGTGATGATAGACTCATTAGCCTTTGAATCCAGGAGAAATGTTTCCCTGTTCCATCTGGAAAAGCCTGGAAAGAGGGACACACATGCATACACCCCAGTGAGTGTTTCAGTGCACTGGCTGGGGAAAGGTCTTTAACTGGTTACACAACCTGAAAAAAATTGTGATTTTAACAGTGGGGAGAGGCTGTGTACATGTTCTGTATGAGATTAAGGATTTAGCCCATCATCAAAGCTGGAGAGATAAAAGGGCACTCACCTTGAAAAAACCGTGGGAATGTGGGGACAGTGGGAAGGAATTCTCTTCATTTACACAGTGGAGGGACCATTGACCTGCTCCCCATGTGAGAATACATTCACTCAGTCCTCCATTCTGTTGACGCATCAGAGTTCACAGCAGGGAGAAACCATTCACCTTGTCATCAACCATGTTGAGGTACCAGCGAGTTCACAAATGACTATAGTGTTAGGATTTTGTGAGAAGTGATGAACTGACTCCTCTCTGTTCACTCTTCTCCATGAGTCACAACAAAGATCTCAGTTCCTTTTGCCAGAGGCTGTACCTCTCTCTGATCAAAGATTTAATTCATTTTGTTGCTCTGATAAGGACCCAATCAACAAGAATCTTTTGATTCATATAAGAAGCAGATTTATTACCTTTTTAAACCTGAGAAAAGTATTAAAAAACTCAATGTTAGACACACAGCTTTCATTCAATCACTTGAGCTCAACCACACAGCCACATGGTTAAAAGGGAACAACGTTGAAAACAAATAACAAAAAAGATACACTCCAGCATCCTGTGTTTACTTTGATGTTTAACCTCAGTTTAACCTCAGCTGATGTGGTTTTGCTGGTTTCTTGGGATGTGGTGTGATGATACTTTAAAAGGTGCTTAAAAAAAAATTTAAATTTAAATAAGTTGCAATTGATATTTAACAGAAATCAAATATTTATAAAAATAATTTAAGATATGTAATGAAGGTTGCTTTCGGTTACATGGGACTCTGAGCATCTAGTTCTTTCCAAGTCACATTTAAAGATTATTTTGTCCTGTTTTATTTTTAAAGACAGGTTGTAAAGGCAGAGGTACAGAACTGGCTACTGGCGATGGCTTCAGTAAATAATGTGTGAAGCCTTTAGGTTTTTTTAAAAAATAGTTGGAACAATGGAAGCAGCTTGAATGGGAGTGACCAGTTCTCTCAGACCAGGCTTTCTAGGGTTTTCTCAGAAAAGTTGAAAGCTTCAGTGAATGATTCCTAGCTGCTTCCTTTTTCTGAAATCTCTCTTAATGCATTTTTCCC